AAGTCTCAGCCCAAATATTACTGTTTTTAAAGAAATGATTAATATGAAATATAAGACTGAAAAGTACATAACCTTAAAAAACAACACGCAAACGAAATTTCAGGTCAGATGGAAATTATTTATTGATAGTAAATTATGATTTCTTATACTATATAGTTCAAATAATTATATTATTATCAACGTTTTGTAATTATGTTATTGACACTTAATAATAGCGCTGTACTTTGTATTTAAACATGTGGAAAAAAAAAAAACATTACAGCCATAATAAAATTATTTTCGGAGGACAGAATATCAAATTCGCTGAAAGATTTATCCATCAATTGCCTCGCTATTGAGGCATCGTGGCAAATACGTTTGCATGAAACGATACCATTGTCCAAATTTAGCTGCCGTAATGGTATCAATATTTCGTTGTAGGGCTTCCTGCAACAGCTGAGTGCGAAAATTTCCCGGAGCAATACCCTGGCGTCTTGCTTCTTCTCTGTTATTCATCTGTTCCTGTATCTCAGGACAGCTAATGTCTGCTTTGATGGCCGCTTTCGAGGAACTTACCGCTTGTTCTACAATGTTCAAGGATAAACTGTAGGATGGTAACTTTTTTAGTTCTGTGTTGGGATTAGCCTACGAGCAGGCTCACGTTGGAGCACAAGCACGTGCGGCGTAGCCTCGAGCGCGAAACCGAGCGGCGATGCCGCGAGACGAGAAAGTGACTTTCTTGGCGCCTCTTCACCAGACTTTGCTCTCCACTCGCGCGCGTGACTCAAGGTGAGCCTGCTCGCAGACTAGGTTGGGACCGGGAATAGCACGGTTATTGTGGGCTATTTCTTCGTGGCATTTCTGGGGAAATCTAACTGTCACTATGTCACCTGTACATGTATACTGTAGTGTGCCCTCTGAGTTGTACGAAAAAGGTTTCGTAAGAGGCCGAATTTATATCTGCAAGGAGAGGATTGTGAAAATATGATTTAAGAAAAGTGCATACGGTCCCTTGTTCTATAATCAAATTTTCGAGGAAAATTGGGCGAGATATCTCTGTTCAAAAGAATTACACTAATGAGCAATTGTTTTCTCTTAAAGTTAGGTGAAGACACGGTAATGTTTGTCTCACCGCATTAAAGATGGATATGGTTGTATAATAATGCAATTGATTATGAGTTCTCATACAAATTGTGTTATTGAAAGTCTTTTGTTGAAAAAGGATTGACCAAAAGTGTAAATGATTGTCGTTTCGTGACAACGAATTTTATTTCGACCAAAATGAAAATACATTTACAGCCAATGAATGTCAAAAGAAGGTACTGTTTATTTTTTGATGATTTAGAATGTTAATATATATGCAAATGTTATTCTTGAACGTTCCTTACGCAGGTCATGTTGGTGTTAATGAGAGTATATTGACCATAATGAAAGACATTTGCGTACAAATGAATAAATATTTTCTGTAAATGAATAGCAAAAGGTATATATGAACAATTCTCCGTCAAAGAATAGGGGTTCATCTTTCCAGAGCGAGCATACTTTTTGATTGCTGGAGTCCAAAAAATATGTGGTAAAAATAATCACAATTGCTAACAATTGCATTTTAGTTAAGTGATTACATGTCTTTAATGCCTTAAGGAAAAGTACCGACTTTTCATTCGAATATGTTATCGCTTAATGACAGTCGAAATTCGCCGAATAATTTTGGAAATGTACATGACGTCTTACTTGAAAGGTACTTTTTTCACAAAGATGTTAGGCTAACCATATTTGGTGATGTTCATTCCAAAAATATGAATTATTGTATCATTGTCATCACTGATGCGAAAGTGAAAGAGTGACTCTGGACTCTGGACTTAATAACGAACGCAGAAATGAACGAACGAAGAAATGTCAAAACTCTTGAAAATACCGTGAAACTTTTACCCTGAAAAAAAAAAAAAAAAAAC